ATATTCTTGGAAATAAGTAGGCCATAGTGTAATGCTAAGAAATCTTTCATAATAAAGATATTCAGGTTGTAACATAACTGTCATTATAGGATTTGACCTGAATAAGAAGAGAAACTAAACAGAGCTTTCTCAACAGAGCTCTTTGAGGATGGATCGAGCTGAATCCCCAGGGGGAAAGAGCGGCTCTTTCACAGAACTTTAAAGATGCCCACCCCTCCTATAAGAAGTTCTTGCTGTGAAAACCAGAGAGACTAAATACTCCTGGGATGTAAAAAAGTACGCGGACCTCAGATTCAAAGGATTTAGAGTCCACATCCTGATTGTTCCACTAACTTACTGCGTAACCTCAGGAGAACTGTTATGACTTCTGAGCTTCAATGTTTGCATCTATGAAATGGGGAGAGAGGAGCCCCAACTTACGGTTACTGTGAGGAGTGAGCTCATAGTTGCAAATGCACCGGGTACAGTCCTTGGCACACATAAAGTGCTCAACCAGTATTAGCCTTTCCTTATTCTTTACTGATACCAGCATTTTTTATATTAAATTTGTATATTTAATGAGGTTGATTTCTCAATATGCAATGCTGTTGCATTTACAGTTCTCTTTTCATATGACAATATTATATACATTCAGTTACTGATGGTTTTATAATATGGTCAGGCAGACCTTTTTCCCAACCCCACCCCTGCCGACTGTTCTTTTTACTGCCTTTCTTGGCTATTCGCAGCCTTTGAAGTTTTTGACAATTTAATCCAATTAGGGGTTAAAATTACATTAAATTTTCATATTAATTTGGGGAAGTTTGACTCATGATACTGTCTTCCCATCTAAGAACCTCCTGTCATTTTCTGTTTGGATCTTACTTTTTTTTTATTTTTTATTTTTTTGGCTACCAGCATTTTTATGTGGTTTTCTAAACACAGCAATGATTAGTAAAACTTAGTAACTTTTTAAATTGCTTCTGTGAAAAAACATTGCCTCTTCTGACCCATGGGGTATAGTGGAAAGATTCCTGGAAAGAGAGTCAGAGGACTTAGATGCAGGGCTACTTTTGCGGCTTACAAGTCAGACCCTCTCCGGGCCTACCGCCTGTGCTGGAAAAAAGAGCTGCCTACCACACCCCTGCCCCCAGGATGGTCATGAGATAATGTATTGAAAAGCACTTTGAAAGCCATGAAGAGCTCTACAAATGAAAGGAAGTATCATCGTTTGAGTGCAACTCATAGACAGACATCTACGTTCTTCAGGTATGGGGATCCCAGACTGTGTAATCTAGTCTGGGTGAGCCATGCCACAGAAAACATGCCCCATAAAGGGAAAGAGGGGCCGGCTGCAGAGGCAGGGCTCAGAGGACTCCAAGAACCTAGGTTCAATAACGCTGGTGGAAGCGATCGGAACTCAGGTGAAGATAAAGCAAGTTGTCAGCTCATCAGTTGCAATTGCTTCGGTCCTCTCTGAAACTGACAGCGTCTACAGAGAGGTGTACATACAGTCTAGAGCAAGTGGAGATAAATGGAGAGAATAAAGAACTTATCCGGATTTATTCATCAGTGTACAGCGAAGAAAGACACCGCAGAATAAGAGTATTCTGGTCACCAGAGAGGTGGGCTCCCCTGTGGGACAGAAGTTCAACTTTTCCAGGACAAAGAAGTGGTCAGAATACCCGCCAGGGTCACCTAACCCCTTCTCTTTGACTCCATCACCACCAGCAATAATAACAATAATTACTAACACTACTAGCGGCTGCGCTCTCTGAACGCTCACTGCTTGCTGTGCGCCGGGCTGAGAGCTGTGCGTGCCTCTTACTGTTTAATCTCGACCACATCCCATCCCTAGAATTGACGCTAACATGAGGCCCACTTTTCAGATTAGCACATAGCTATTCCAACTGTCAATCTCAGAAATTCTTATCCTTAAAAACCCTTAATCCAAAGCCCTTAAGGTCAGAGAAGGGACACGAGGGTGGAGAGTATTCCCATCTCTCAAAAAAGGGTTTCCCTTTTTTGCATTTAGAGGACAGAAATAGATGTTGTGAGACATCAGAGAAACCTGGCTCATTTGCCAGGAGAAAATGTCCCAAAGCTGCCGGGAAATTTACTCAATTGGGATTTGATGTGTGTCTTCACAAATAAGAAAAGTTAATAAATAATTTGTCCATGTCTCCTTTCCCACATTCTACAAAAGGTAGAGAAAACTGAAGCAATCAAGAGGAGATGATCAGTCACTCATAAACCAGAAGTAGGGCCCCAGGGTTCTAATCTCCAGCCCACTTTGTAGCAGACAAGCTGACCAACATTTTGTCAATTCATTTTCTGGCATGAGGAAGAATTACACTGATTAACCCACCAGGAGCTTAGGGGCGGGAGACAGTTCAACCAATCAGAACAACTTGGACAATTTGACATCAGTACTGGGGCAATGATATCACTTCCTACTTCTAATTTTATGCAGAGGAGAGAAGAAAAGACTTCTCAGCCATCACCCCCCCCCCCCCAAAAAAAAAAAA